TGTTTGGCCTTAATTGCAACAGTCCATAGGTCTTTATCCTTGGTGTTCATTGCTTGATTGTAGGTTTTAGGATCGTTGATCACTAGATTGGCAGTCTCCTCGTTGCTCTTTTGCTTTGACGTTTGTCTTGTAATCATCTTCTCAGAAGGTTTCTTATTGTTCTTCTTGTTCAAAGCCTTGTTCGACTTGGACCTCTTTGTCACTTCGATTACCTTGTCTCCTGATGGATGCTGGTCATCCATTGCTCCTCCGCCGTCCTGATTTTGAAGCACATTCTGTGCTCTCGCTTGCAACTCTGCATTTTGGGCTTCCGTGAACGTCTCTATGGACTTCATGTGAGTGGTGATAATTACCTTCTTCGAGTCATGTATGTAAACTATGTATCCTTCGATTTCTTCTGAAATCCCCAGAATAGTACCTGACTCTGAACGCTTCTTTAGAGCTGATCTTGCTTTCCCTGGGTCTTTAAACACTCTGCATAGCGATCCGTTTATAGCTATGTCTCTCACGCTTGCTGTGCTGCCAATCAAAGCCTCAATTTGTGACCTCCTTCCAGCATTCGATCTGGTTGGGCTTCTGTTCAGGATGTAGCTCGAGTATTTCACGGCGTCGCCCCAGAATTGTAGTGGCAAGTTGCTGGCAAACAGCATGCTTCTCGCCATATCCATGATTGCTCTGTGCATCCGTTCGGCCTTGCCGTTCGACGCTTGGTTGTAAGGCTCCGGCATATGCCTCTCTACTCCAGACTTGTTGCAGAACCAATCTACGCTGGCATACTCGCCACCCCCATCAGTACGCAGCACGCTAACCTTGCAACTAAATTGCTTCTCAAAATACACTAAGAAATGCTCAAACTGCTTCGCTGCTTGTTCCTTAGTTTTAGCCAGGAATACTCGACAATAATTAGTCTTATGGTCGACGAAGTTGATCAAGTATCTATTGCCCAATCTGTCCCTTGGTGTGTTTGGGCCCTTGATATCACTTCCTATTACACCTCCAATGCGATCGATAGGTGCATTGGATCCTGTATCATTCCTGGGCTGCTTGTTTCTT